GCGGTGTGGATGTGTCCCCGCAGGCGAGGCATTATACGGCCAACAAAGCGGCGGCGGAGGAGATGAAGAAGAAAACAGCGCTGCCGTATCGGCAGAGCTTCTTTAGCTGCCTTCGCTTCTCTCCAGCTCTTCATAATCTTACCAGCAGGGGCTGGTGATCACCATTTCTGCGACCTTGCACGACCCTGATCTTGAAAAAGGAAATTTTCAGTCCGAATGATCCTGAGGTGAAAAAAACAACAAAAGGAGGAATTTTTTTGACATTAAATTTGAATTTTTGGATTGCTGCAAATTTAAAGAGGCGCCTGATGATTGTCTTCTGTATTCTGTTTGACATATCCGGGAAGGTGAAGACTGTGTTTGTATATGATTCATCAAGTTTTTGATTGTTATTTTAACTTTGTGTTTGAAGTTGTAAGACGTGGCGGGGCAGAATGTTCTGTTTTCTTGTTTTATTGCTTCCTGACTGCAAATTACATCTAGTTTGTTGCTGATTGTAAAGTTTCTGAGAAAGTGTTTCTTCTAAAAATTTACATCAGGCTGAACAGATGATCATAAAGTAATTAATAACTGGCATATTATAATGTTAATTAAATATTTTATAGTTTATACTTGTTTTAAAGCACATTCAAGAAATTTTAAGGCTCATCGGCATGAAAAATATTACGGTGTCGCACATCAGGACAGCCAATAGCCTCTTTGATTGATTGCCCGTAGATATTGTCCGTACTTAATATTTTTTCCATTGTCACTAAAATTTGAGCAGTGTACTGATAGATTTTCTTCCTAAATTAATCCTTATAGTATATAAAAAATCTTGGTTCATGTTTTGGGGCTAACGCGCCAGTTGATTCAACTCTGCTCAAAGTGAATTAGTTCAATCTTAAGTTTGGGGTTTATTTGAGAAAGCCGTAATTTTTTAAAAAGATGATTTCATGATTGTAAAACTATGGAGAAGAAAACATCTTCTTAAAAAATTAAGGTTAAAGCTTTAAATATATATTCTTAAAAAAAATCAGATAATTTTTTTTTAACAGACATTAACAATTCAAGTTATAAAAAATAATTTCTCATAATAAAATTTTGTTAAATATAATAAGAAAATGAAGACAGAAAGTTTATGCTATGTTTGAGAAGATAGTGAAGTCTGTTCCGTTGCCGTGGACGTTGATGCACACTAAGGCGTGGAAAAGAGTTCATTTGATGAAACATCTCTTGAAGTTGTTTTGCAAGAAGGAAAAGTTTGTCATTTTAGATGACAGCTAGCAAAGTTCCTTCAAACAAAACAAAACTTTTAGCTTCTTGGATTACATCACAATTCAAGCTAAGCTTCCATATTTAAATTCAATCCATGCTAATAATTGATTCTACTTTCATTTTACTAGTCAATATTTTAAAATAATTTCTTTATCCGTCATATAAGCTTGCATCCGTACATCAATCAAAAGAGTATTCCGGGACTTCTCCCTTACAAAAGGTCAAGAAAGGAACTATAAAGTCACAAACACGCATAATATTGGTTGAATTACAGCGAATAACCTCAAAAGCTTGAATTCCAGCACTTGCTTTTATATATTGAAAAGATTGCTTTCAAGGCTCAATTCTTAACATCTAAATAATGGAGGTAGCTTACCGTTAATCCAGGCGCGTAATAATGAAAAAATGATGATTTATCAATTTTAAATGTAGTTTAATTTCATTTAATTTGACTCAATTCAAAACCTAACCCGGCTGGTTAATCTAATCATTAGGTGTATTTCACTTTTTAAAAGTTTTGGGTGGTATAAATGTAGAGGAAAGTTTAGGTATTGTAAATGTAAATACATAGGAATTGGGTGGTATGTATGTAAATACCACATGGCTACAATATCAACGGCATTATGGGAATCCTCAATGCTTGTAAAATCTGTTAAGGAGAAAATATTTTCTGGACTTAAGTCCAATGGAACTTGTCATGTGGCCTATGGTTAGGCTTTTTAGAGGGGTAGAGTTCATTTGCTATACAGCACACTCTCACTTGTGGCACACTCCCACCGCACTCCAGACGAATATAATATTTTTGAGAACCCATATGGCACCGATAAATCCAATCAAAATTAAAATAAAAGGGCAAAGTGCAAACAGGATTTTTCCATGCAAACACTTCCCATCGAATCAGCTCTATACAACGAACACTCAAGGCTTAAATGTCATGAAAAATATTATCAAATTTTATTTATAATTATACCATGTACTTCTTACAAATTAACTTTCATACCCTATTATTCGCTATTTTTTGCCCTATTTTTTTATGATTTAGTTGCATCGCACTAAAATGTTTTGGTTTATTGGTTGATGTTCAACTAATTAATAGTAACTTATAAAATGAAAACCTATGAAATTAGCAGCTAAAATCAAGAGGAATTTAATAGGACCGCTAAAGTATTTCTTAATTTTAAAATTAAGGCTGAATTTAACAAAATAAATTATCGGAATTATAAACTTGCATTTGATGCAATCAGACAATTGAAATTTTAATACTTAATTAAAAAATAAGAAAATAATAACTTCGTTGTACTGTTCAATATTTAATGTCCTTATTATTTACAAGCTAAAACTCTTACCGGCTCGAGTTTTATTTCTACTGAGATTACACACGAATTTGATATGAATCAGAAAAGGGTGTAGGGCTAAACCTAGTCTATTTATATAAGGCCGTTCTAGTCTCAGAATTTATAGAAATGCCAAAATAGTCTCATATCTTTTCAAAGATGAGCTCTAATATTTTTCCATGGAGACTATTTCAGCTCCAATTTAAAACGTCTTCGGCAGATTATTTTGATATTTTTATAAATTTTAGAATTAAAACTGTAAATAATCATATAATATTTTAACACTTACTTAGAAGCTAGTATATAACTGGAGATTATATTATAAAAGGATTTGCAAAAAATGAACTTTTTTAATATCTGATAGACGCGC